TTCTGGTTCACAAAAAATACATTCTAAAGCATGACTATTAAATTTAAACACTCACAAATAACATAGATTTAATAATCTCTGTTTTATCTTAGCTTCTAGTAGACAAAATTCATTAGACAAATGAGTATCACTTATTCTCCTGTATGCTGTACCTGAATAAATTCACTGTTTGTCAAATGAGGGAAGGGAACAGGAATTGCATATTGAAACCTTCTCTTTCCAATTGATTAAGACTCATAGGAAATGTCTAGTACTGTTGTATTTAATATTTTAAGGTGTCCCATGGTGGAAATAGCACCACTGAAAAGAATGGGGACTTAGGACTTGTATTTGCAGGAGGAGGGTGAAAACAGAAGACTATCCAGATTTTTGTGGACAAGCTCTTGTCTCAAAGTTAGAATTTATTGCTTGCTGGCCAGTCCTGACCATGTTTACCTTCCTTTCTATATATGTTGTGTACCATATAATCAGTAAAATAAGCTAAGGGAGTTAAGGAGGTGAAATTTTCTTTCAGGAGATGGGGGAGTGTTGTTAGGTTTGAATTTGGTTTGTTGCTTTGGGTTTTTTCTTTTGCATGATAACAGCTGTAAACATTACTTCATGGGGATATTGTTATCAATGACTTTGGGAGTTATGCTCCATTTCAAAGAGTAAATTCATCTCAGTTCAGTGAAAGGTGCACTGTCTACATTGAATGTCGTGGCTGAGTAAGGAGGACTAAAAGCCATGTTGAAGCTAAAAATAGAGAACTATGAAGGAGAGACTTCCCCAAAGCTGACTTTGTTCATTAGCATGTGAATAACCTCTTTTGCAGCCTTAACATCACTGTAGGCTGGGAATTCCCTTTCCTTATCCACAAGACCTTCCTTTTGAAGGGAAGTATGTTCACCAGCCAGATGGGGAGGCATTGCCTCCTTTAAGTAACCCTGAGATTACTAAAAGAAAGAGACAGACTTTTGTCCTCCAAATGCACTTTTTCCTCAGTAAATCTGATTTCAACTTCCTGATTGGCTTTCAGGGGCCTTTTACGTGAAGGACAGCTGAATGCCCCTTCCAAACTGTTAAGGAAGGACTTTCTCTAAGGGGACCACTGATGGACTGAGGCTTGCTGCTGCTGTTGCACTTGGTGCTCAATCTGAGGAATGTTACTTTCAATTTTTTATACAGATGACAGAGAACATTTTCATATCCACTCTTTTCTGAATGTGTTTGCTTAGTGATCCACCATGAATATGCACTCACATTTGAAAAAGAGAATGCTTAATCTAATAGCATCACATTGGGGTACACTGGAATATTCTGGATATTACCATACAAGTAACAAAAGCCCATTTGGTTTTAAATTCCCATCCCTAGAAATATTTTTCCCAGGGTTATGTAACACCACAAGAAATCCTCAGATGTTCTGTTGCCTTCTCAGCTTATTGTTTCTGAAAAAGCATAGGTATTTGAAGGTAAGATATTTGTGATTGCTTTTTTCTTAGTTTTAACTTTTTTTGGGAGTCTGTCTTGTAGCTGAACTTGGATTCCTTGGGGTTTAACAGCTGAAGATATTTATGTTTGGAAAAGTGTATTCTTTGTGAAACATATGGATTTGTGAAGATAAAACAGCAAAGCAACTGGCAAAATCAGAATTGAATAGAGTGTTAAACTAAAGGATTTTGAAGTGTCATGCTGACAAACTTTGATGCAACAGGCCAAATTCCAGTTTTAGTTGTGGGAACAGAATTAATGTGGGAACTCCCTGCCCCTCTCCATCCCCAACAGAATTTGCCTTCTTATGGCAATAAAACTGGGGGTTCTGGTCTTCATTAGATACATCTTTGTCACATGAGGGACCTTGAAATTACAGCTTTCATTTTTCTTATCCTCCTCTGTTTGTTTTTTTTCCCTAGCCTTTTTACTTGACTTTTTGGGTGTAGCTCTTCTCTGAGTTACTCACCCTCAATTCCCTTCCCACCTAACGGAAAGAAATGGGTATTTCAAGGTTGTGATTCATCAGGGACAATTAAAATGTCTGATTGAGGTTTAGATGAATCAGGACTGAACTTAACTGACCAGGACATTGTTGACTGTGGTGGGAATATGGAATTGCAAGTTGTGATGGAAGTGTCCAAATTCCAGACATCATCATTTGACTCATTGAAATCCATCCTTTGTATTTTTCTTCACAGGGGATTGGATGCTAATATTAAAGAGACATTCCTCTGGCACTTTTTGGAGTTTACTGGGGGTCTAACGACTTTTGAGCCTTCTGTGATTCAGGCTAATTGTCAGCTCAGGAACTGCATATGAATTTGCCTCAAATTTGCATTTGGAAGTTTGCAGCCTATCTGAGAAGGTGAGTCAATTACACTTTCTTACTTTCAGAGGAGAACTTAATCTGGCTGTATTTTGCAAACTCCATAAATTCAGTTAGCAGAGTGCAGCAGGTGTGTCCCATTTTAGGCTTTCCAGCAGCTCTTTTGTTCTTTATTTTCTTCATATGTTCCTTCCTCCATCAAGTTCACACAGATCTCCATCTCCTGTTTTCTCTGAAGAAAATTCCCATACTCTTGTTTCTTCCTGACCATGCCCATTAGGGACACACAACTGGTTAAGCAGTCTCGTATTGACAGCTTGGAAATCCTTAGCCACAAACCCACTTCCCTGCTACAGACCCTTCGTGGTGTCTGAGCCAGCTCTCCTCTTGCCTTGAGGAATGGTTCAGGAACTGGAGGAAGCCAAATCCAAAGCTTTTATATTTCTCATCCACTATTTTCTCATCCTCCTCTATCTCTCCAGCTCTCTGCTCCTTATTGCTGTTTCATGAGGCTCACGTTACTTTTTTCATCTGCCTTCAGTCACTGCCGCCAGCCAGCACTGCGGTACTCTGGCACCCTGTAATTAGTACAGCTGCTGAGAAGACTCTTTGGCATGGTCCATGACCCTTCTCCAGCTCTTCTTGACTGTGGCTTAATCCGAGTGCACTTTTCCTGAAGCAGACCCATCTGTCTATGGCTAGGATGTCACAAGGTGGTTGGCACATGGGGGATTATCTGACTTCTGAACTGAATTCCCTGCTACTTTTGCTTCTTACAGGAAAAATTGGATGATTTCTGAATGCCCCACTCATTACCAGAACCAAAAGTTTATGATCTTAAACTTGAAGTCTGGAGAGTGAGCCACACAAACTTCTTGATTCTTTATGGCTGATGCTGCTCTTCCTGCAAACACTATTTCCAGAGTGCATCACACTGTTTTCTGAAGAAACAGAGTTAGAAGCAAAAAACAGGCTTTGGAGGCTGTACTTTGGAGGATCACCACCTTCCACAGCAGAAAAGCAAATAATCTCAGATTACCCTCACACTAATAAATACAAGAATGTGTATTACATACATAGGAATACAAGAATGATTATAATCAGCTAGAGAATTTTGTGGACACTCAAAACATGCACAGTACAAGCCACTGCAAATCAACTTCCACCACTAAAGGAAAACAGTCTTCCACTCAAATACTCTGTGGGGAAATGTTCTTCTCATGCATGGCGCATTTGCAGAGGTGATGCTTCAATTGAGGACAACATGCAGTTATCTTGGAAAAAAAGTTTTGCATTTTAGCATAGTCTTTTACTTTGATTGACACCAAATCTTAGGTAGATGATTAGGAGATGACAGGAGATGGGATCTTCTGGATCCAGCTATTTTTTCTTTAAACAAAATTTATTTCTGCCTTGTCATGTAGCTTCCTTCAGTCAATGACATCAGCAGATGTCAGAACAACCTAATATTTCAGTTGAAGTTTTTTTATATTTTTTTATTACTATACCACCCTAGTTTAGTGATTCAGATTAGCTCCGCTGAAGGTAAGAGCGCTAGTCTTGGTTGACACCAGGAGAGAGAACTGAATTTAGTTCCCTCTTTCTGATAGTGAGCATTTCACAAGCAGCACAGATTTGTGGTAGGTCCTTCTTGTTTATTTTGTGTGTGTGCCCATATCTGCTTTGGGAGCCTGTGGTAATCTTGCTACAATCTGAAGTCCCAAAATACCACAAGAAGGGGTGTCTTACGCTGTCTCCAGTCTAGCCAATGACAAATAATTCCTAGGAATACCACAAGGAAGTTGATTTATGGTTTGATTTCTCAAACAAAGAGCTCTGGACAAAGTTCAGATAAGCAAGTAATCTTATGGATGCTTATCTGGAATAAATTGGTGTATCTCTGGGGCTTCATTCAAGACAAAAACGACCACAAGACAGAAAGCAGAGAAAATGAAAAATGTATCTCATAAGAAAGTACTGAAAGGGTTTAGAAACTGGCATGTTTCTCTTCAGGTCACTAGCACATTTCAAAGACCTAATTAATTTTAGTGTGTTTAATTGTTGTCTGTTCCCCTCCCTCTGGTTTTTAATTTCCCTTTTATACAGCTTATGAGCCAGAAGGTTTTCAAGACTGCAAGGTTAACCCTGGGTGCATGGAATGTATAAACCAACTTTTCAGCAGTAGGATTTATACGAGGGGGAGAATGCAGGATTTGCCAGGTGCAGACAGATGTAGATGATGCCTGCAGAGCTTTAATACCCTGATGATGGTAATTGTAAACCTGAGAATTCAGACAGTGAGAAGGGGCAAAGCACGGCACCAATCTAAGCCTTGCAGCATTCCTGAGTTGCAGGTGACAGAATGACAATTTTCCTCATGTTGTGTCAAGCTGCATTGTTATCCTCTAATTCTGACTAGGCATAATAGGAAAATAGTTCTTGTTTGTCCATGCAGCTGAGCTCTGCTTAGTTCTGCCTCAGCTAACCCAGGTGCTGTCAACTATTTTTAAACTGATTTAATTTTGTAGCCAAGAGCCACCCGTTGCTTTCCAAGGATAATAATGACTTGTTTGATTCTGAGTAATCTTAGGGCACCTCAGGGCATGAATTAACTGGAGTGAATTTAGCTGTGTTTGGTTATTGTGCTGTAGGGAAAACCATGGGGGGTGGTGGGTGACCTACTCATCTGCTGCAGGGGATGAGGGACTGAGGGAGCAGCTGGGCTAGAAATGTTGTAAAACCACTGTGATCCTTAAAGATGGCTAGCAGGGAAAATTGTGGCAACTTTTCCTAAAAGCCTGTGCTTGAGGACCTGGTTGCTGAAAGTGGTAATCAGTATGTCTTTAAATTCTTGTTCCTAAGTCACCGTGTAAGGTGTATTGTGATTTATATGTACTTACCTATACTAAGTCTGCAGTAAAGTAGAGAAACAACTAGAGCATATTTTGATTTACTGCAGGATAAGACATGTGGCAGTTTGATCAAACTCCTAGCAACACATTTGGGTGTGTTCATCCCAGGGATGCCTTTATAATTTATAATTAAGGTGAAGCTTTGGATGCTCACATCCAGCCAACAGACTGGATGATATGCCACTTACCCATATTATTCTTCCACCTGAAACCACAGGACCTAAGGCTTAATATCTTACTAGAAAAAACAGGAAAAATTAATCCTGGTTTTGCAAGAAGGTATTGGAAAAGAGTTTCTCAGAAATTACCATATTTGTTCAAGAATTTAAAAAGGTCTATGCAGTGTGCTGTACAGGGAGTGAAGAGTGGTAAGTAGAAAGGTTTTACTTCCATTCATTTGATATGATCTATATAATTCACTCAGGATGGTGCTTCCTGTGATTAATCCCATGATTCAGTATGAATGACTTAAAATTCTTTTGGCAGTATGATGTAATCATGCATTTCATAGCACAAAAAAACCCTAAAGGTAATATGATTGTGCTACAAACAATAAGATTATGATCAATATAAAATTAAAAATTACAAAAAAAGTTGGTGGAAAACATTTTTGTTCAGTGTCCTCTAATATCTTATTATAATATAATTTTTAATTTTGTGACTGCACAGCCTTTTTTCCACCCAATACAAAGAACAGGCAGTTCTTATTTACTTAGCAGTTATTTCAATGGTGGTTTTATTTCCCACTGTGTCTATTATTTATGTTCTCTTAGGCTTTTCTATGTGCTTATAACTGAAACATGCAATTACTTTAGAAATACTGTTTAGGGTATCTTCAGAACTTTTCTTAGGCCTGGTAATATAGTTCCTCTTCCATATGCAAGGATATGAATCTTGCATGGAATAGGGTTAGAGGTACTTGCTAATTTCAGATGGCAATTTTGATCTAGGACCTACATTTTTTTAAATATAAGGCATCCTTCCCTGTACTTGAGAGTTCCAGCTGGTACACACTGTTATTGGGAATGCACAGCCCCTTCTTTCCTTTACAACTTCTTTCCTGTACAACTCTTTAGTAGGTATACTTGTATACAGCACCTAACAGATGACCAACACTGATTATTTTGATTTAAGAGATTGTATTGGATACTCCCAGCTGAGGCAAGGATAAGAACAGGTCCCCACAGCATCAGCTGCCTTAACTGGGTCCATCTTAGTGACAGCCAGTGTGCAATTCTGAGCAAAAGGGTGATTCAAAAATGCTTTTCTTTCATTATGTGGCTATGCTGCACCACAGGTGCAAGACCTTCCTGAGCCCAAATTTACAAGAAAGTTTTTCTATCAACTTCCAAATTCATTCTGAACAGAAGAACTTATGAGAATTTTTTGCTGTTTAAGGCATTGACAAAAAAGCTGACATAACTGTCAGCAAGGAGTTAACAGCAGTAACAAGTGGTTTGCTACTAGGCATCATGAGCATCTGGGCTGTAGGGAAACGGCAAGACTTGAGAAGGGATTCTGATCTCCTAACCACTGTGCTGTTCATCAGTGTTCAAGCTTTTTCCCAGACCCCTTTTGTAATGGTTTAACTTCATTAGGTATCTAATCACCCAAGAGCCTTTCACTCACAGCCCACATCCCCTCCAGTGGGGTGCTGAAGAGAATCAGCAGTGTAAAAGTATAAAAACTCATTGGTTGAAATAAAGAAACTTTAATAATTAAAAAAGAAAAAAGAAAAAGAAAAGAGGAGCAAAAAGCAAACAAGGAGAAAGGGGGGAAAAAGTCAAAGTAAACACAAGAAAAACAATTAGTACAAAAGAGTAATTTCCCACTACCAACCAACCAGTGGCTGTAAAGTCCCTGCCAACAGCTGCCACTGCCAACATCCACCCCCAAGCTTTATATATTGAGCATAATGCTTTTAGTTCTGTGTCCCCTCCCAACTCCTTGTGCACCCCCAGCCAAGCACTGATGGGGTGGGGGAGGAACAGAAAAGACCTTGATGCTGTGTAAGCCCTGCTCAGTAATAATTAACATTTCTCTGTGTTACCAACATTCTTTCCAGCACAAATCCAAATCCCATACCATCTACTCTGAAGAAAATTTCTTCTCTCCCAACCAAAACTAGCATACTTTCCTCCTATTCTGTCCCTTTTCTACCTGTAGTTCTTGCTGCCAGCTCCATTTGACTGTGCAATATGCCCTTCCTCCCTTCCTCCCTTCCTCCCTTCCTCCCTTCCTCCCTTCCTCCCTTCCTCCCTCCCTTCCTCCCTCCCTCACTTCCTTCCTTCCTCCCTCCCTCACTTCCTTCCTTCCTTCCTCCCTCACTTCCTTCCTCCCTCACTTCCTTCCTCCCTCACTTCCTTCCTCCCTCACTTCCTTCCTCCCTCACTTCCTTCCTTCCTTCCTCCCTCACTTCCCCTCCCTCACTTCCCCTCCCTCACTTCCTTCCTTTCCTCACTTCCTTCCTTTCCTCACTTCCTTCCTTCTGCATTTCCTTCCACACTTCCTCTGATGCATATGACATAATATGATCTCTGATGACTGTGACATTCCCTTCTGGTTCCTGGATGACACTCTGTCCCAAAACACCTGGAAGTAATAGTCTTTACATCATATTTTCATTTACAGTAATTAAAAAATCTTAGGAAAAATTATTTCTCTTCATCAGGTCTGAACTAAAATTCTTGGAAGAGAGCAAGCAGCCCATGCATCTCGCAAAGAGCAAGAAATGATGAATGAGGCAGACACAGGAGCAGATGAAGATGTTATGTTCATATCAGTCATATGTGAAGTGATTTACTTCTATTTTTGCTTTCAGCTTTGACTGGCACCGCAAATTTTAAGGATGTTCCACAACAGTGGACGGACAGAGTGCAGTGTTTGTTTTCTCTGGTTGACAAAAGTCTAATAATAGTAGTAACCTCAGGGTCAGAGGGAGTTATCAAATCTGATCATGATAACTGCTTAAAGTAAAAGACCTAAGCAATAGTGTACCAGAGCAGGAAAGAAAGGCAGAATTAGAAAATCACACTGTGGCCTCCTATTTCTGCATCATATATTCATGTGAATCTGATGCCATGTAGCACACTCAGCAAGGTAGTGAGAGGCTGTATCTGAAATTTTCTATCTCACCTGGGAGACTGACTTGGTGGTAGGAAGACCAGGCAGGGACAAGGAAATTTGGTTTTCTGGTCCCTCCTTTGTTGGAAACATCTGTGACTTCTGGAAACTCCAATGTATTTCAACTCATTCCTACCTCTCCTGCCCATGAATGACTTGCTGTATGTCCCTCACCCATATGGATATGTTTGAGAATTAATGTTATTAAAGATTAGAAAGGATTAGGTTGATATTGCAGCTGTACAGATCTCACAAAACAGGCAGGGCTTTGGATTATGGGAATTCTCAATGTTCCTTCCAGCTTTTCATCCACATGATTTCAACATTTGCAATACTCATATTACATGGTGATTAAAATCTGATAGTAGGTATTTGATAGTATACCTTTAACATGTAGAGACATAAAATGCTATCTTTTGGGTTCTGTGGGAGATGTGACTGGATTTAACTTACTTTTCCAGATGAAATAGTAAGTTCATTTCTTCCATTTCTTTTGTCTTTCACAACTTGGATTTGAGGGTGTTTCCTGGGGCACAAATAACATAACGACTGAAGTGAGAGGTTCTGGGATTCTCTTTGTACCTATTATAAAATACATAGCAATAGATGGAATTTCAGTCACTATAAGATAAAAATAACAGAAGCCTGAAGTCAGGTCTTGAAAATTACTTACAACATTTTCAGATCAATGTTATGTTTTGTGATTGCATATTTATTTAAGTTTTTGATAACATCATCTGAAAGCGTTATGGCTTGATAAAAGAGTGGAATAAAGATATAGAGAATTTCAGCCCAAAATTTGGCAGCTCTTTAATAACTGCAGGAATGATTGGAGACTGCTTCCTATGAAAAAATGTTCTACATGAGATATAAATGGATGAAGCAGAAAGAACAACAGAATCTGGGGTTTTTCAGTTCTTGGCACTAAAGGTGAATTGGATGGAACAAGAGATTTCTGAACACCTTATCTGAACTCTGAGAAGCTTGCCCAATTTCCAAGTATTTTGAAAATATTTTTTTCTCAGATACTTAATTTTTCGTGACTTTTTATATCAGTACAATAAACAGTAAATGACTGATGATTGAAATAATAATCATAATAATCTTACATGGAAAAGAACAAAACCTATGCTTATATTAAGATATGGGACCAATAAAAAAAGTAACTGTGAGAGTCAGATGGATATTAGATCTTGCCCACTATTCTGCTTCAGTATCTGATTTTCCCTGTGTAAATATGAGCTCATTACCTTACCCTAAGAGAAAGATTTTATTGTTAACATACCTGGAAACAATTCTTATCTTTAATGTACAAAGTTTCAGCATCAATACCAGTGTAACCACATGCTGGTCATTCTACCTAACAAACAGAAGTTTTCTCTTTTAAGATCTGTAGCAGTTGTGAAAACACAAAGGCATGCCACATAGGAAGAAAGTGTGGGGCCTTTATAAAGTAATTGACTTAGCTAAGCTGGAATAAATATATTGTGTGGCACTGCACCCACTGAAATTTAGCTTCAAAAGAATTGAAAATCCAGATGTGGCTATAACAAGTACTCTTTCACAAAAGAAAAAAAAAAAAAATTAAAAATCCACCCCTCAGGGCAGAAATGAACCCTGAATCACTTTGAAGTCAAATGTCTCAACAGGTACTTGATTCTAGATTGGAACCAGAAAAGAGATACCACAGACAGTGATGCTACGTTGTCCCTGAAGTCATAACAGACATAGAGTATTGTGGTTACCTGCTTTTAGTATATAAAACAATAATGACCTAAGAGAAAGATTCTGAGAAAGTGTTCTGAGAAAGATTAAAATCTAAAGGGGACCATGAGCCTTCAACCAATCTGAAAGATCAATTATTAAATCATTAAATTATTAAAATTAGATTCTACTGTAAAAAGATCTTACACTGAATGAAATGTGCCTCCTGTGCAAAGGACCAGTATGACATCTAAGCATATTTTAAGTCTTTAAATCTCTACTGCACAACATGATTGTTTCTTAAGGATCACACAGGCTTTCAGAAAAAGGGTGAGTTTTATGAGAGGTAGACAGACCAGTCAGTAATACTAGTGCAGAGAGCAGCAAATTGTGTGAGAGTGATCTGTTCTCAGACCAATATTTCTAGAACACGGACCTAATTTGCAGTGCAGAAAATCTGCTCTGTCCTGGCTTTTCAGCACAGTGAAATTAATATCTTTGCATTTTCTAAGGGAGCAGCCAAGAAAGTGAGAACACTATACTCCGCTATACTGTCAATTTCAAAAAGAAAAACAAAACACAGAATGGGAAGTGAATATTATTTCTTTCTCATTGTTTTCATCACAGGCCACATCTACAATGCAGAAAAATTTGGAGAAAGGACCATTCTCCACTCATACGGATCAGCTCACAGTGAAATACACTGCCAGGAGTGCATGTGGATACTATAATGGAGAAGCTTGAAACAGCACCATGTCTAGTATAAACACTCTGAGAATAAGAAGAAACAAGACAGCTTATTTTTTGAGACATCAGCTTCTTCTACTTTGTTTGATATTATAGTGTCTTACAGGGTGAAGAGAATAAAGCAATATACAGTTTTACAAAAACACAGCCCTCACAATGAATCATTTTATTTGTCCAGGATGCCATTATGTAATTTCTAAGTTATATTCACCCTTTCTATATGCTTTTGAATCCTCCTTTCCTCTTTGGTAATGCTTAGTTTACAACAGAAAAATTAAACACAGAAGATATTTTGTTGGTGGTGGTGTTTATGGTTGGATGATTTTATTTTTTTAATTGCTGCATTGGACAATATTCATAGTTGCCATTGATTTTATATTGGATGCACACTGAAGTTTGCACAACTCAAGTGAAGTAAAAGACTCTCTGCAGAGAGATCCTGATGGATCCTGGGAAAGCTCACCATAAAGAAAACAGGTCAGGTCATATTCAGGTTCAAACAGACTCTCTATAAACCAGCTTTGGGCTTTCAGTTGCAAAGCCCCAGCTCACTGGCAAAGGAGTTGAAAGTATCCTGAGAGGATGCAGAGAAATTCTTCAGCGAAGGACTTCTGGGAAACCTTTTGATATAATGTGGCTTCTAACATACTTTAGGAAAGTAATCTACCTGCTTTTAATTTTTACTGTGTTTAGGGGTATAGGGTTATGTATGAGTTGTTTGTACATAAACATCATTATGAATTTTCCTAAACTTGTAAGATCCTGAATTTCGGCTAGCCACTTGGCTCTGGGTGCAAAAGAAACCCATCACAGGTAAAAGCAATGGACTACATGAAAGCTAATAGTAACAGAGGCAGTTAATTGGAATGTGGTACATGTGGCTCCAACTGTATCACAGAAAAGGGGATTTTTTTGCAGCTGAATAGCCACAGATGAGATAATATAACTGCAAAGCCTCCTTGATGACTGTGTAGACTGAAAATGTAACACTTCTTCAAATAAGCTGGTAGGTCACAATACAGGTAAAGGGAGGCTACTAAGGGTGCCCACACTATTAATTTACATTTAGAGGTCAAAAAATTATGCCGGCTGGCAGACAGACTTCTGTGGACAGACTATGGAAATGGCTAGGGTGCAGACAGTCAATTAGTGCATGTGTGTCATTTTAAGGACATGGCTAATGTGAGCCAGCATGCTCAATCACACATAAAACTCAGTGCAGTGGGGTAGCAAGAGGCACACTGAAACTTCTAAATCTGAAGTTAGAACAGCAGCCAGCATATTGGTCCTTCTCCTGTAAGACTCAACTAAAGAGACTCAGTGTGACTTTCTTTTTAACAGCCTGAGCCCCGAAGCAGAGTCTGTTCAGTCCAGTTGTTCTGAAAAACAAGATTTTCCCCCCACTGTTCTGTTGCTTCTGTTATAACTTTGGCCAAAGACAAAAAAGGCAAGAGTTTTGGGGCTTTGCTTTCTTTTGTTGTGAAATGCTTATTTAAAACAAAAATAGTAGGCTTTATCTTTTCCTACCATCTATTTTCCCATTTGGGCTGGTTTAAGTTTTATGGGGTGATTGCATTGGTGCTTGTTCATTCAAACTTGTTCACATCTCTAATTTTCCATCAGACTTTGGAGACATCAGTCTTGTGGCCTCCAGCTGAATCTATGCATTCATGGTAGCTGACCAGGCAAAATGGGTAATTGTAATCCACAAGCCTTGTTTGTGAATGCAATTACTCATTTTGTAGAAGTAGATTTTGCCTGACTCTCTTCCAATACCAATGCTAGGAATTCCAATTTTTTTTCAAATCTTAATAATTACAATATTATTTAAAAATCACAGATAAAGGCCAATGAATTAATTGTTTGATGTACTTTGAGTAGTGTATTTGGGTTATTCTGTATCTTCTTTTCTTGTCACCTGTGTCCAATTACAGCTGTAAGTTACACAGTTGTAAGAGCTTTGTATCTTTTCTTGGTTGTGCTCAACAGGCCTGATCTATAAGAGCATTTTGTAAAATGATCTGTAAGTTCATTTTGTAAAATGAACAAAATACACTGCTGACACAAAATAGGTATGTGTTTTGTGCTTGTATCATGATAAACAGCCTTATGACCAATAATAAGAGGCAAGCAATTTCCTGCCAGTTTGATTCCCCCTAGAAAATGATGGCTCCTTGACTCAAACATCCCATTCTAGAGATTGTGCTGTTTTACCTTATGAATTCATGTGAAGAGTAGAAGCCACAGTTAAGCTCCAGTTCCCCACCAGGCACCTGTATGTGGCATCTGGAATTTCTGTGAAAGTCCTGCGTTCCTGACTGGCCTGTAAAGACCCCATAAGCACAAGCATTGCTATGAATGCATAGCTCCAGTCTGGGCATTTATGATGTTCTCGTTCTCAGTGCCTTAGGAGCAGCCTTATGTCCAATCATTCCACAGTGAGCTGTGAACAGGAAACACTCATTTCTCAAACGCCTGCAAAGTGTGATGAATGGCCTGCACCTTCAGGTGCCAATCAAAGGCCTCTGAGAGGTGAATGCAAGAGGGCAAAGATCCAGTTGTTTTGCTTTTTCTTGGCAAGAACTGCAGGATTGGTCCTAATGCTTAATCATACACATGCCACTAATCAGTTCAATGCTGAACTGGGCAAAACAGCCATTTAATGTTATTCCTCTCTTAAAGCAGACAAGCTCTCTCTAAGGCTAGAAACAACAAAATAAAAGGGAAGAGCATAAGTATCCTAAATAATTCCCAATTTTGACATGACTTTGCAATCAGGTTTTTCACAAAACGAAATAGTGCCCTCCACTGTTCTCTTTCTTGTCTTCCCTCAGGGAAAAGGGATTTCCACGAAACAACAGTGGCTTTCATTTCACTTCTGTAATTGAAGCCTTCTTGCAGTGTTTAGGGTAACGTAATCACATACTTTCTGTAGCCCAGGTGTCAGACATGCAATACGTCCCCAGTTTTGTCCCTTAAAGCCCAGAGCTCTCTCCAAAGACACACACTATTCATCACAAGTTCCTGAAGTTGAAGTTGAGCATGGCTTCATCAGTGATGTTTGTTTGCATGTGCATCTCCCTGGATTCTCTCAGGGGAAGCAATTCTGGCAGGAAACACTTCACTGTCACTTTTTTTTTTTTTTACAGAAGACCTATGTTTCTACACTGCACTGCATATTTTCTTATTACTCTGTACATTTTACAGCCTTTATCTTCTAGTGCTGGCTATGTCAGCTGAGTAACAAACTAAGCATCTGTCAGGACATAAGAACTGCATTAACGTACCTCTTGGCATAGCATAACAAACTACTTATGACCAGGGTGTCCCATTGTTACT